CGCCAGGATTTGTTGAGGATGGCTCGAGCGAGACGCTTGGTTTCACGCGTCCTCGTCGTCCAGGCGGATGTCTAGCATGAGGATGTGTTGAGGAAGTCTCGATCGAGATGCTTGTTTGCACGTGTCCAGGTTGCCCAGGTGGATGCCTAGCATGAGGATGTGTTAAACATGTCTCGGGAGATACGCTTGTTTTCACGTGTCCAGGTCGCCCAGGCGGATGTCTAACGTGAAGATGTGTTAAGGATGTCTCGAGCGAGATTTTTGCTTTCACGTGTACAGGTCGCCCAGGCGGATGTCTAGAATGAGGAGGTGTTGAACACGTCTCGAGGGAAACGCTTGTTTTCACGTGCCCAGGTCACCAGGCGGACGTCTCACATGACGATGTGTTGAGGATGTCTCGAGCGAACCACTCGTTTTCACGTGTCCAGTTCGCCCAGGCGGATGTCTAGCATGAGAATGTGTTGAGGATGTGTTGAGCGAAACGCTTGTTTTCACGTGTCCCGGTCGCTCAGGCGGATGTCTAGCATGAGGATGTTGACAGGATGTCTCGAGCGAAACGCTTGTCCCCAGCACGTTCCGTAGCGCGTCCCCTTGGCACGTCCCGCGGTGCGTCCCCATGGCACGTCCCCTGGCGCGTCGCTTGGCGCGTCCCATGAGACGTTCCGCGGCGCGTCCTCCTGGCATGTCCCCCTGTCAATTAGCGCTGGGGCAGCTGCGATGTGTTCAGGCAGCTCGAGCTTACGATCCAGATCAGTTCGGTCAGGACTCAGATGCAAAGGAGGACTCGATCCACAACGTTATAGAGCACAATCGCGGCATGGCACATCGCCATTCAGCACGGCGCAGCACAGCACAGACTTCGGCACGGTGCATCAAGAACGACACACTCAGCATTGCAACCTGGCACGTTCCTTGGCACGTTCCGTGGGGTGTCCCTTGGCTAGTCCCCCTGGCACGTCGCGTGGTGCGTCCCCTGGCACATCCCGTGACACATCCATTGGCACGTTCCGTAGCGCTCCCCTTGGGACGTCCCGCGGTGCGACCCTATGGCACGTCCCCTGGCACGGCGCCTGGCGCGTCCCTTGGGACGTTTCGCGGCGCGTCCTCCTGGCATGTCCCCCTGTCAATTAGCTCTGGGGCAGCTACTATGTGTTCAGGCAGCTCCAGCTTAAGATCCAGATCAGTTCGGTCAAGACTTGGATGCAAAGGAGGACTCGATCCACGACGCTATATAGCACAATCGCGGCATGGCACATCGCAATTCATCACGGTGCAGCACAGCACAGCCCTCGGCAGGGTACATCAAGATCGATACACTCAGTATTGCATTTGCCCGTGACCCAATCAGGTGTCTTTGAAAACGTTGCCATGCGTTACATTTCTATATTCCGTTCCGGGTTCGTGGGTCGATCATGTTGGACCCTGACCCCGCCGATCTGCGTGAGGGCTGTCAATTTCGACCCCCCCCCAGAAATTTTGAGACCTCTCCCAGGAGGTGCTAAGCAGGGCGGTTTTCGGCTCCCCCCCCTCGCGCGGTCTACAACAAGGGACAGTAAGCAACAAGAAGCAGAACTGTAACAGTGGAAACTGGAAACCTGAACTGGCGCAGGGAACAGCAAACCCTCGTCCTGCAGCCTGGTGGCCCCACAAGGGGGCCGGCGGATTTACGCAGGTTTATGGCTTGGGAGACGCGAGTGTGTTATAATTTACTACGGTTTATGGCTTCGGACACGCGATTATAGCGTAATTTACAAAGGTTTCTGGCTTCGGGGTCGCAGATAATGTATCATTTGCACAGGTGTATGGCTTCGGAGACGCGAATCTTGTGTAATTTACTAGGGTTTACGGCTTCGGCGACGCGACTATTGTATGATTTGCAAGCGTTTGTGGCCTCGGGGATGCAAGTATTGTATAAGTTACAAGGGTTTATGGCTTCGGGGACACAAATATGGTGTATTTTGCGAGGGTTTATGGTTTCTGGGACGCGAATATTATAGTTCACGAAGGTTTATGGCCTCGGAGACGCGCATATCGTGTAATTTACGAGGGTTTCTGGCTTCGGGGGCGCGAGTGCTTCATATATTTGAAAGAGCGTGTTCTACCGCTGCTGGCGGAAAACCGGGGGGGGTCACTACCGGTTCGAACCCCTCCCCCCCCCCCCTCCCGCCCCCCCTCCGGAAATCCGGGGGGGGTCACTACGGGTTCGAACCCCTCTCCCCCCCCCCAGTTCATCATGAAAAGGGGGGGGGGTCACTACTGGTTCGAACCCCCCCCCCCTCGAACTCGAAAACCAGGGGTGGTCACTACCGGTTCGAACCCCCCCCCCTCGAAAACCGAGGGGGGGTGCGGACAGTGGTGGGGACGGTGGTGGTGGGGACAGTGGTGAGGGGACAGCGGGACAGTGGTGGGGACAGTGGGACAGTGGTGGGGACGGTAGTGGTGGGGACAATGGTGAGGACAATGGTGGGAACAGTGGGGACAGTGGGACAGTGGTGGGGACGGTGGTGGTGGGGACAGTGGTGTGGGGACAGTGGGAATGTGGTGGAAACAGTAGGACAGTGAAGGGTACAGTGGTGGTGGGGACAGTGTTGAAGGCGGTGGCGAGGACGGACAGAGGTACAGTGGGGACAGTGGTGGGGACAGTGGGGACAATGGTGGGAACAGTGGGACAGCTCAGTGGGACAGCGGAGGAGTCAGTGGGACAGTGGGGACAGTGGGGATAGTCGGGCAGTGGTTGGGGCCGTGGAGAAAGTTGGGAGAGTGGAACCGTGGTGGGAACAGTGGTGGGGACAGTGGGGACAGTGCGACAGTGGTGGTGGCACTGGTGGGGACAGTAGGGGCGGTGGTGGAACCAGTGGGGACAGTGGTGGTGAGGACAGTGGTGCTGGGAACAACAGTGGGGGATGTGGTGAGGACGGTGGTAGGGACCGGGAGTCGTTTGCTGGTGAGAGGGGTGGGTGGAGGGGTTCGAACTGGTGGTGACCCCCCCCCTGGTTTCGAGGGGGGGGGGGGGGGGGGGTCGAACCGGTAGTGACACCCCCGGTTTTCGAGGGGGAGGGGGGGGGGAGGGGGAGGGGGGGGTTTTGCCGGGGGGAGGGGGGGGGTCCAGCAGGGGGGGGGGATTTTCGGAGGGGGGTGGGGGGACCCCCGGGTTCTGGAGGAAAAAGGCGGCAATTTTCTACAGTAAAGCGGCGGTGGATCACGCTCTCTCATATATTTTGATGTGTCCCACGCCCCCCCCAGGAATTCAGAGCACGCGATTCGGGCGTGGTAATCCGGACGCTTTTCGGCTCCCCCCCCCTCGCGCGTTCAGTAACAATTGCAACATTAACCGTAGGAAGCAGAAAGTGGAACTATCACACTCGAAATTGGAAACTGGAACTGGTGCAGGGAGCAGCAAACCTTTGCCCTACAACCTTGTGGCCCGCCAGGGGGCCGGCGGATACATACATACATATATATATATATGTATATATATATATATATATGTGTATATGTATGTATGTATGTATGTATGTATGTATGTATGTATGTATGTATGTATGTATGTATGTATGTATGTATGTATGTATGTATGTATGTATGTATATATATATATTTCATTTCCTTGTTCCCCCTTCTCTCCAGGCATGATGTGGCGCAAGGAAATGGGCGAGAACGAGTCCATGCTGTTCCAGTGGGACAGGGATGGCCCCAGGTCCTTCTGGATGGAGAACACCCTCATCGGCTCCTGGGGGAGGCACGAGGCAGAAATGCATCAGCAAGAGCATGCGGCAGATTACGGCAGGGCAGGCTAGGGCAAGACTCGGCAGGGCCTGGCAACACAAGGGACGGCAAGGCATTGAAGGCAGGAGACGACGCGTCAAGAGAGGATCAGGCATGACAGGTAATTGCACCGTAATGTACGACAAGCCAGGACGCGACGTGGCACGTCTGAATTTTGATACGAATGTCAAGATCAGATCAGAACAGACCAGGCCAGCCGCCACGGTGCAACTAACCGAAACATGACACCGTAGAGCTCTCCGCCTCCACCGGCTTTTGCCCCACGAGCCTCCTCAGGGCCGTTGTCCCCCTCCTCTCTCCTCCCTCTCTTCCCTCCCTCCCCATCCTGCCCCGCTTCCCCTGAGAGGGAACGCCTTTGGAGGGGGCCATGACAAGCTAGCTCCGCGTCTAGCTTAGTGCATGATGATGTTGATGCTGCTGATGCTGATGATGATGCTGATGATGACGATGCTGCTGCTGATGATGCTGATGATGATGATGTTGCTGCTGCTGCTGATGATGATGATGCTGCTGATGCTGCTGCTGCTGCCGCTGATGATGCTGATGATGATAATGAAGACTGGGAGGAGGAGAGGGAGCAGGAGAAGGAGGACGGGGAGGGGGAGGACTAGGCGAAGGAGAAGAAGGGGATGAGGAGGAGGAGGAGGAGATTGAGGAGGACTAAGAGGACGCGTAGTAGGAGGAGTTGGACGACGACGACGCTGACGCTGACGATGATGATGATTCTGATGATGATGATGATGATGATGATGATGATGATGATGATGAGGATGAGGATGAGGATGAGGTGCTGATGCTGATTTTGCTGCTGGTGCTGACGATTATGCTGATGCTGATGATGATGATGATGATGATGATGATGATGATGATGATGATGATGATGATGATGATGATGATGACTGGAGGAGGAGGAGGCTGAATGGGATGAGGAGGAGTAGACGGCGACGAGCAGAAGGAGGATGAAGAGGACGCGTAGGAGGACGATGACGACGACGACGATGACGATGACAATGACAATGACAATGACGATGACGATACAATCAGTCGTTCGGATGGGGCGATGTGGCGCTATCCATCTCCGGTCTGCCTCTTCTCTCCCTCCTCGTCCTCCTCCCCTCCCTTCTCCCGTGGTTTCACCATTATATTTAAACCTCTTTGTCGTAGGCTTTCACGGGGGGCACGGGGAAGCTCTCGACGACAGCCTGCACGATCTCGCTTTTGTTCTCTGGGGCCGGCCCTTCAGCAGTAACGTCGTGATCGTGGGGGATTTTAACGTAGACCAGTTGCCGCTGCATCCATCCGACCCGTGGTTCTCCCAGCTCGGCCTGAGAATTCGTCATTATTTGGCCCGCGAGTCGCTTGCTAATCGAAGCAGCGCTTTTAACCTCGACATTCGCCTCCCCTCCCCTCTCCTCTACGGCCTGGGCGGTCCGCATAAATGCTGCTTGCCTGGCCGCTCCGATCACCAGGGTCCCTGGTGGAGACATGGCTGAGGAGATCAAGCCGAGTCTCTCGGATTATGCTCTGGCGTCGCCTTCCGTAGTTGTTCAACCGACGGTTCATTGGGCGTCTCACGGGGACCATGCATTGTTTGAGCACGCCCTCGGGTGCAAGGCCAAGGCACGGCGCCGTGGCAAGACACATTGGGTTTGTAAGGATTTTGAGGCTTGCCTTGAGTGGTAGAGCTTTGCCCTCGCCTCCTCTTCCTCCTCCTCCTCCTCCTCCTCCTCCTCCTCCTCCTCCTCCTCCTCCCCGTCCCCCTGTCCAGGTACCTCTGCCGAAGCTGTCTGCGCAGCTGCTTTCGCAGCCCTGCGCGATAGCTGATCTGACAACCGTGCATGCGCGGCACGGTCTGCGGGGCGCCTGCCATCGCAGTGCCCGGATTTGTATCGGCGAGCGGCCGAGGCTCCCTTAGAGGGTGAGCGCACGCGGCTCCGCTGCCAGGCATGGCATCTTCAGCAGGCGCACGTGCGCCAGGAGCGGGCGCAGAAGGCCACGGTTACCATCAGGCAGGGTCGGGTGTTTAAGAAAGCTTCCAGGTTGCGATCCGTTTCCGGGATGCACCTGCCATTTCTCCCCAACCCACCTTCAGTGGCCCCGAAACTGGGTGGTGACCACACCGTGCGGTGAGTCGGTGGGGATTTGGGGTCGCCGCACGGTTTTGGGGCTCGGGTCGTTCTCCGAGGACGTCTCGGGCGACAGGGGCCTCCGGGGTCCCAAGACCGTGCGGTGACGGACCGTGCGGTGAGGTCTTGGGGGGTTTCGAGGTCACCGCACGGTCTGTCACCGCACCGTTTCGGGACTCCAAACACCTGATGCTGAAGTGCAGTACCAGTTATCGCCTTCTCCAGCCGAGTGAGTCAAAACATGTTTTGGCGCTAAATGGGGGTCAGACGACCCAGCATCGGGCCTCCCTCTGTTGGATTTTGTCTGCGTGGCGGAGGGGCACGAGCCCAGATTTACTGCTGCAGAAGTGCCGGCTGCGCTCGCCCACCCCAAACATAGCGGCAAACTTGATCATGATGGGCGTTGTGTGCGCATGCACGATCTGATGTACAAATGCGCTCCTGGCCTCACTATTCGCTACTTTAGCGAACTAGTGGCCTCTAGCGCTGCCATGTCCAGGATTAGTATTGCGGGGCACGTGGGGGGGGAAGGGAACCTCCACCCGCAAACCCACGCAGCTCCGAGCTATCATGCCCCTCCCGGCTGATCTCCAAGTTCTGGATTGTTTGATCGCTCAGCGTCTCAACGCATGGATCGACGAGCGCGCTGCTGTTCCACAGTGCTGCTGGGTTGGAGCCCGGCCATTCACGCAAGCCGTGGACATCACGCACGCTGTGCACCTCTTTATCGCGAGAGGTCTGGACGACCGCAGCCAGTCGGCAATGGCTCAGAGCGATATTGAAGCCTATTCTGACTCTCTCCCTGTTTTGGGGGTGTTGCAGTGGTGCGTGCCTCGAGGGATGCCGCTGGCGCCCGCGGCAGCAGCGGCGCGCCATCAGTTGCTCCCAGTAGTGAGCTTGCGCGTGGGAGACGTGAACGCGGAGCTTGGCAAGCGATCCCGCGGAAGTCTCAGTGGGTGCCGGGTGGCCGGTGCTTTGGGCCGCGCCCCAGTCGAGGGCATTCTCGGGAAGATGTCGGATGTCTGCCGGCAGCGGGGCTTCTTGTTGGGCGAGTTCCAGCAATTAGCTATTGCCACATACGTTGACAACATTTATTCCGTCAGCAACTCCCTGTATAATGCTGCGTGCTTGTTGGATGTGTTCGAGTCCCATCTTTCCTCCGAGTGGGGACTCCGCATCAAGGATTCCAGCAAATCATGCATGGTTGCTGCAGGAGAGGGCGCGTCTTTTTCAGACCCAACTGTGTGAAAATCGTCGGAGTCTTCTGAGGCTTTGGGCCACATCCTGGAAGATACGGGATCGTGCACGATGTGTGTTAATAGGACTATGGCCGCCATGTGGCGTGCGTTTTAGGGCAATTGTGCCATGCGCCGCCTGCGATACGTCCCTCTGCGGCAACGTCTTCGCATGCTCGATCGCTCTGTGCTGCCAGTGTTCGACTATCGATGCAGCCGGTGGCCGCCCGCCGCAACCCTGGAGGGACGCATCGACACTTATCAGCGCCGCATGGTCAGCGTCCTGATGCGGGTGCCGCGACAAGCTGGTGAAGAAGCGCCAGCCTGACCCCAGGTAGTTGTTAAGACCCCCCCCCCTTCCGGTGAAAGGATAACACTTCCGGCACCCTAAAAGCGTTGCTTCGGCACCGGAGGAGCCCGCAGAGAGCACTCGGGGCCGAGCTGAGCCTTGCTGGGCCCTGCTAGCTCCCGCTAAGCCCTGCTTAGCAATGAAAAGCCAGGCTCACCCCCTGCTGAGCCCTACTCGCCCCTGCTGAACCCGCAGAAAGCACTCGGGGCCTAGCTAAGACTTGCCAAGCGCGGGCTTGCTCCTGCCAAGCAGGGCCTTGCAGGGCCTAGCAGGGCTTACCGGGGCTTGGCAGGGCTTGCCAGGGCTCGCCAGGGTTTAGCAGGACCTAGCAGGGCTTAGCAGGGCTTAGCAGAGCCTACCAGGACCTAGCAGGTCTTAGCAAGTATTCGTATTTGTATGCGTATTAGTATTTCTGTTATTTTATTAGTATTGTGATTATTCTTGCTCCTCGGGCTCTCTGGATTTTTGCGCCTCCGGGTGCTAAGATAACGCTCCTGTGCGGGGCGGGGGGCGATGCCCTGGGATGCCCCCCCCCCCCCCTAGAACGGCCCGCGGAAATCATTTCCCCCAAGGGTGCTGTAAAAAGAAACGCAGAGGAGGAGGCGGAGTAGGAGGAGGAGGAGGACGAGGACAACTCCAGGCTTTCGGCCGTGAGCGCCCAACTCAGCCTCCTGGATTTCTCCAGAGGGTTCTCCCTAGGTGTTTCGGATCATTGGAATCGGGCCCGTAGGATTCTCCAGGCAATTCTTTGCTGGTCCGCAGCATGTCCCAGGAAATGCATAGCATATGCAAATGCTTCGTGCGGCGCGCGCCTATGGGTGATGGGTGGTCCTAGTTCGTAGGCTTTCCTAGGACATCCCGAGCATGTAGGATTTCCTAGGACATCCATATCATTTCATTTGGAACTTTTTAGCATTTCTTATGACATCCCTACCATATCTTTAGAACATCCCTGGCATTTCCTAAGGAATCCAGTGCATGTCGCAGGACATCCTTGACATGTCATAAGAAACCCATAGCGTTTCCTACGACATCCATATCGTTTAATGTGGATTTGCTCAGACTTTCCCGGGGAATCCTTTGCATCTCTTAGAGCATCCCTGCATCTCCCAAGGAATCCGTGGAAATTCGCAGGCTATCCCTAACATGTCATAGGAGATTCATACCTGCCCCGAACAAAATCCTCAGCATGTCCTTAGCATGTCTTCAGCATTTCCAAGGACATGCAAGGGGTACTTACCATATCCTGAGAGTCTCCGCTCCTTGATATTCCCCAGACAATGCGAGCGATGCGTAGCATATCCGGAGGCATCCCCGCGGATTTCTTCTTCCGCGTCCTGCGGCGCGCGACGCGCCACATAATTTGTTTTCTGATTTGTGCGCGGTGCTAAAAATATCGCTCTGCGAAAACGGTCCCTGAAATTATTTAAATACTGGTTCGGTGCTAACGATAACCTTGGGGGGTTTCTTAACAACTTCCTCGGGCTACTTCCGCCGCAGAGCCCGGGAAACCAATGATCTTTGTAGACAGAAGCGTTGGTGAAGCCATCGCCATTGCACTCGAGTTTTGAATTGGCGAGAGCACCTCGAACGGCCGCGAAAACGTCGTTCTTGGGCGGAGCAGCTCAAACGCTGGCCAGGCGAGCGCTGGCCCCAAAACCGGAGGGCGCAGCTGAACAGCCACAGCGTTCATGCCGGACGCGCGGATACGAGATTGACAGCGCGTCGTCCACGACAGCGGTGGCATGATGGAGCCAGGTTTGCTTTAGAGCACGTGCTGCCTGGCTCGCACGCTGTTCTTTGTCCTCTCTAGTCCCTCCCCCCCTCCCCCTCGTATGAGCATGGAGTCTTTCAATAGTTCCAGCGTTGCAGCGGGGAGTGCGCCTGCATGGCGCATCTCTTCTCCGAGTGCGTTTTGCGCAGGCAGTTTGCGGTGTTACCCCGCCTTCTGATTTTGATTCTCTGATGGGGATGATGATGGTGATGATGATGATGGTGATGATGATGGTGATGATGATGATGATGTGGATCATGATGCCGAGGCTGATGACGATGCTGATTATGAGTATGATGGGGGGATGATGATGATGTACATGCAGCTGATGACGATCAACATGATGCTGACGATAAAACCAATGGTGATGCTGATTGCTGCTGATGCTCATGCTGATGCTGTATATGATGATGCTGATGGTACTAATGATGATGAGGATGATGATGATGATGATGATGATGATGATGGTGATGATGATGATGATGATGATAATGACGACGATGCTGATGACGATGATGCCGATAATGTTGATGATGATGATGCTGATGCTGCTGATGATGATGATGATGATGATGATGGTGGTGATGATGAGGATGAGGATGAGGATGAGGATGAGGATGATGATGATGATGATGATGATGATGATGATGATGATGATGATGATGATGTTGATCATGATGCCGATATTGTGTTACTGGTGATGGTGATTCGGATTATAATGACGGGGATGCGTATGCGGATGAAGGTGCTGATGCACATGATGATGCTGATGCTGATGGTGATGCTGCTGATGAGGATGATTTCGACGATGATAATGATGATGCTGCTCATAATGATGATTATGATGATGATATTGATGATGCTGATGATTATGGTGATGATTGGAGACGGATGGTGAGGATGATGATGAGGCGGAGGAGGACGAGGATGGGTGATTGGGGAGGGAGGAGGATCAGGAGGAGCAGCCAAGGAAGGACTGACGGACGTACGACACTCATGAATCTGCTGATGATGATGCGGATGCTGCTGCTGATGCTGATGACGCTGTTGTTGATGGTTTCGGTGGTGGTGATGATGATGCTTATGAAGATGTTGCTGTTGCTGCTGCTGATGATTATGTCCTTGCTGATGACAATGTTGATGATGCTGACGATGTGGATGCTGTGGAACCATACGGTGCTGATGGTACTGGTGATGAGGAGGATCATGAGAACGCATGATGGGGATACCGAGAAACAGCATCCGGATGGGGTGACGACAGAGGCGGAGACGACGTGACGGGATGATACCACGAATGCAGAGGATATTGAAAAGAGAATGAGACGGAACAGGATCGTGAATATGAGACTGGTGGTGACGGTGATCCTGAATCCGATGATGATGATGATGCTGATGATGTCCATGCTGATGCTGACGCTGATTGTGATGATGCTGGTGATGATGCTGGTGATGATGATAAGGTTTGTCATGATAATGATGATGCTGATTATGATGGTGAAGAGGAGGATGAGGAGGAGGAGGAGGAGGAGGAGGAGAGGGTTATGAGCAGGCATTCTGGGGAGGATACTAATCATGAAACCCTGTTGGAGCAGGGTAATTGTAAATTAAAGGGGAAGGCGATGAGGAGGATGAGGAGGAGAGGGAGGAGGATAAGGAGAAGGATGATGCTGATGATGATGATTCTTCATATTATTATCATATGAGCATTCGTATTATTATTCTGCTCCTGCTGATGACGATGCTGATGATGCTGACGACGCCGACGATGCTGATGATGAGGATGATGATGATGGTGATGATGCGTATGACTTTGGTTGTGGGGATTCTATTGATGCTTTTGGTGGTGGTGTTGTTGATGATGATGAGTAGGAAAAGGAGGAGGAGAAAGGGGAGTCGGACGTGGAGGATAAGGTGGATGATGCTGATGATGCTGCTGCTGCTGCTGATGATGATGATGATGATGATGATGATCCTGGTGGTGATGATGCTGCTGATGATGATGAAGATGTTGAGGATGAGGATGATGATGAGTATGAGTATGAGGATGAGGATGAGGAGGAGGAGGAGGAGGAGGAGGACCTGTGGAAACCCAAGAGTCACCAACGATGATGAAATAAACCCTTCCTCTGAGATCCCTTTTAGGCCCCTACAATGGTTCATTTCCAGTGAGGGAATTGCTTCGTTGGAAGGCAACCGTTTGAAGACCTTGCAGCATGCCAAAACATGGTTCTCGGGATTCCAACGAAACGGATCAACCAGACTGTGCGTCTTGACGAACTTGAACCGTGCCAGGACACCAATCCGGGGACATCAACACCGCGAATCAACGTAGCTGTTGCGCCTCCATGATCCTGAATCCTTCCAGCACACCATTTCTGGCACGCTGAGCGTGGGGAACCGTGAAACTCTTTCAACTCGAAAAACGAATATGCGCGGCGCTAAGGCGAGAGCCACAGTTTGAAAACGAACCGCCCTCAATCCTTCGAGCTCTTGCACATTTTTACAAAGCGTGTGCGCGGCGCAAAGGCGAGAGCCACATTTTGAAAACCACCAACCCTCAATCCGTGAAGCTCTTTTCAATTTTTTAACACGCATGTGCGCGGCGCTAAGGCGAGAGGTACATTCTGAAAACCACCCGCCCTCTATCCGAAAACCTCTTACACATATTTAAAGCGAATGTGCGCGGCGCTGAGGCGAGATCCACATGTTGAGAACGACCCGCCCTCCATTTGTGAAACTGGTGTCGGTTTTTGAGCTTCAGGGTCATGAGTGGTGAGGAAGTCTCAGGCGGCACGCCCAGACCGCCCTGAAAATTGGGCTCGGGGTGCGAGAGGGAGAAGCTTATCTTGAAGGAAAGGGAATGGAGGGAGGAGCGAGGAACTCACGGGCGGGGGCGGAGGCCTGGATATCGTGTACGTCAACCATGCGGGCCGCATCGTGTCCATCGTCCAGGGGAAGCCGCAGGACCCGGCAGCCCCGCCCCCCCCCCTGCGGGTGAGGGAGCGAGAGAAGTACATAGCGATACCCTCACATCCCCGCTTCCCGCTGTTTCCTGTTCGTTCGCGTTCTCGCTTCGTGGTCGTCCTCTCCAGGATGCGACGCTCGAGCTTCAATCGTGGCACGACCCGTCCGTGTCACACCCCCAAGTAGTCGAGTGCGATCGGCAGGCACCGTGTGTGTTCTACGGTCGGGATCTTTGGTTTAGCGAGTCGCTCCGCCAGTTCTGGTCCACCGCGCTTCGGCGCGACACGCTATCCACATCCCAGTCTCCGAGCATCAACGTCCTGAGCTTTTCCCAGCCTCCCGCCCCGCGGAGCGGAGCGCCGCCCGATCCGCGTGCAGCGCACAGCGTGTCGCCGGTGCCGCCGCCGCGACACGCGATGCAAAGGTCCCTGACCGTAGGTTCTGCGAGCGACAGATGCCCTCGCGTCCAGGCGTCGTGGGCAGGCGTGCTTGCCTCGCTTCTCCGCGGCCTCGCCGCGTGAGCGCCCGCCCCCTTTTTTTCCTTCCCCTCCGCGGCCGGCCCTCTTCTGTTCCTCCCCTCCTGCCTTCGGGGCACTTCGACGCGTGCTTGGACTCGCGTGCAGACTGCCTCCGCCGCGCTGCGGCGTCAAGAAGTGTCTGCCCCGCTTCGGGTCCCCGCGGATCACCGGGCGCCGATGCCCAGCTGGCGGAGCTGCGTTCGTCGAGGTGGGGCCGACAGCCGTGTCCGTTCTTCTTTGGTTGTCCGTTGTTTTTCCCCTCCCCCCTCACCCGTTCTTTCCTCGCGACGGGCGTCGCGGATGTCGGGGGTGGGAGGGTGGGGGAAAGGAATGGGGGGAAGGACAGGGGTAGGTGGGGGACGGCGGGGGGGGACTCGGGGAGGTGGTAGTCCTCCTCCTCTTCCTGTCCCACCCTCCTCTTTCTCCCTCTCCTTGTTTTCTCTTCTCCCAGACATGCGACGTCCTGATTGTTTCAATGCGGGGTCCCTGGAAGGCCCGATCCTCGCCCCGGGACCGGCTTCTCCTCCGCTTCTCCTCCTGAGTCGCTTTTGTGACGGCCCCGAGACCCAGCGAGGGCTCCCCGAGGCCGAAAAGTCGGCCAAAAGCCTCCCTTATTTTATTCTTTTGTTAGATACATGTTATTGTAAATCTAATTTTTTTTTGCTCACGAACATCTCTATGTGTATACTTACACTTATGTGTCTTTTCATATATAAGTATGGTTATGTATGCACATACCTATGCATATGCATATGCATATGTGCACACATATGTAATCTATGTGTGTGTATACGTATATATAGATATGTATACACGTATGTTTGTATGTATGTATGTTTGTTTGTTTGTATGTATGCACGTATGTATGCATGTACGTTTGTGCGTATGCATGTATGCCTGTGGGGTAGGATAGGGTACGGTAGTGTAGTGTAGGGCAGGGTAGGGTCGGTATGTATGTATGTATACATGCGTGCATGTACGCATCTATGTATGTATGCATGTATGTATGTACGTATGTATGTATGTATGTATATATGCATGCATGCATGCATGCATGCATGCATGCATGCATGCATGTATGTATGTATGTATGTATGTATGTATGTATGTATGTATGTATGTATGTATGTACGCATTTATGTATGTATGTATGCATGCATGCATGCATGCATGTATGTATGTACGTATGTATATATGTATGTATGTATGTCTGTCTGTCTGTCTGTATGCACGTACGTATATATGCGCATGCAAGTATGCATGTATGTATGCATGTTTGTTTGCATGTTTGTATAGTTTATGCTTGTATGCGTATACGTATGCATGTATGTATGTGTGTGTCTATGCATGCATGTGTGTATATGCATGCACGCATGTATGTATGTATGTATGTATGCATGCATGTATGTGTGTATGTATGTACGTATCTATGCATGCATGCATGTATGTATGTATGCATGTATGTAGGTATGACTGCATGCATGCATGCCTGCCTGCCTGTCTGCCTGTCTGTCTGTCTGTCTGCCTGTATGTATGTCTGTCTGTGTGTATGTATGTATGTAGGTAGGTGGGTAGGTATGCATGTATGTATGTATGCATGTATGTAAGTATACATGTCTGCATGCATGCATGCATGCATACATATATGTATGTAATGTATGTATGCATGTATGTATGTATGTATGTATGTATGCATGCATGCATGCATGCATGCATGTATGTATGTATGTATGTATGCATGTATGTATATATGTATGTATGTATGTCTGTATATATATAGATGTATGTATGTATGTATGTGTGTGTATGTATGTATGTATGTATGTATGTATGTATGTATGTATGTATGTATGTATGTATGTACGTATCTACGTACGTACATATGTATGTATGTATGCATGTACGTATGCATGTACGTATGTATGTATGTATGTATGCATGTACGTAGGTACGTCTGTCTGTTTGTCTGTTTGCCTGCCTGTCTGACTGTCTGTCGGTCTTTCTGTCTGTCTGCCTGTCTGCCTGCCTGTCTGTCGGTCTGTCTTTATGTATGTATATATGTATGCACGCATGCATGCATGCATGCATGCATGCATGTAGGTATGTATATAGATTCACATTTCTTTCGACAGCGACAGACGACGCGATCCTGTCTGGGACGACAGCGGCGGCGCATGCAGAGCGCAACTGCACACGAGCCACCGAGCGCCGCCGTGCGAGCCTCCTCCTCCTCCTCCTCCTCCTCCTC